TTTTTCATTAAAGATTTGGACTTAGTGTATCTTGTGATCCCAATTCCTTGAGTGGATTGTGAACCTCAAAAAATAATTTCAGTCAAATGTTCTCAATGAATTTCTAAAATGGTAATCTAGTTTATTATCTTACCAGGTTTTTCTCTGTTTTAGAATATAAGACAGAGCATTCAGTATTACAGGCCTTTACAGTAATCAACTTGTATAGGCAAGGGAACTTTCCAGAGTGACTCTTTAGAACATTACACACAAACAGTCTCTCCTTTACATTTCCCCACTCTAGAAATCAGTTAGCAACTAGGTTATTGCTGTGCCGGTAGCAAGCAGACAGTAAGCGTTTCCTGGATAATTTACCATCTTCTTTTTTTTTTGACAGGCAGAGTGGACAGTGAGAGAGAGAGACAGAGAGAAAGGTCTTCCTTTGCCGTTGGTTCACCCTCCAATGGCCGCCGCAGCCGGTGCGCTGCGGCCAGCACACCGCGCCAATCCAATGGCAGGAGCCAGGTATTTATCCTGGTCTCCCACAGGGTGCAGGGCCCAAGCATTTGGGCCATCCTCCACTGCACTCCCTGGCCATAGCAGAGAGCTGGCCTGGAAGAGGGGCAACCGGGACAGAATCCGGCGCCCCGACTGGGACTAGAACCCAGTGTGCCGGCGCCGCAAGGCGGAGGATTAGCCTAGTGAGCCGCGGCGCCGGCCCATCTTCTTTAGTAATATTATTTGTAGGATAATATTTGTAGGACATTTTAATCCCTTCATTCAGGTTCTTTTTAAATGTGACAAATGTCATGATTTTCCTCTACCTGTGAACCCCTGTGAGATGGAGTTCTCTGAGACAATGGGATATTCAGAACTGACTCCTTGTCTGCTGTCATCAAGAAACTCAGGCTCATTTTTTTCTTTGTGTAGCAGAGATAATCAGCCTTCTCTTGGGGTCACCAAGGACTTTTCTGACTGGTGGCATCAGTATTCATTTGTAGAGCTTCAGAATTAGTTGTAGGATTGAATTAGATCTGATTCCCGCTTATAAAGTTCTTACTAAATAGATACTGACTTACAAAGCATATTGTCAGTGAATCAACAAGTACTTAACCCTGAACTGCCCCTGAGACAAAGATGGGAAGCATGAGAATAGGTGGGTACAAATTGATGAGGAGTCTAGCCCTGTGCGATCTCTTTAGCTGTTGGCTGCTAGTTTGCGAAAGCTTGCATCTTTGTATCTCTTAGGGTTACTATCAAAGCAACTAAAACAAAGGAAACTTTAAACTTCTGTTTGAAAGAACATATTTTTTAAAAGCTAAAATATAGGCCTAATGATATTTTTAGTATCTTAAAATAATAGAAGATTAAAAATATTTTAATTCTACATAATTTTTTTAAAGGTGTATTTATTTATTTGAAAGGCAAAGCTACAGAGAGGCAGAGACAGAGAGAGAGAGAGGACTTCTATCTGCTGGTTCACTCCCCAGATGGCCACAATGGCCAGAGCTGAGCTGGTCTGAAACCAGAAGCCAGGAGCTTCTTCTTGGTCTCCCACACAGGTGCAGGGACCCAAGGACTTGGGCACCTTCTTCTGCTTTTCCAGGCCATAGCAGAGAGCTGGATGGGAAGTAGAGCAGCCAGGACTTGAACTGGTGCCCATATAGGATGCCAGCACTGCACTGCAGGTGGCAGCTTTACCCGCTAAGCCACAGTGCCAGCCCCCTACTAAGACAACTTTTGTTTTTCCTCATGCAACTGGAGGATTTTATAATGAATAGGATAATAAAGATTCTGCAGTTTTTTTCTGAGGGGTGAGATTTTAATTAGTTGGTACTTATTTGAACATTCCATTTTTTCCTTTGTTTTGGTTATAAGTTTTTAAAAAATATTCTTTATTTGAGATATTTGTGTTCTGAATTATTACCTAGTCATTACACCTTATATTAAAAAAAATGATTTATGTATTTCTTTGAAAGAGACAGCGAGCTTCTGTTAACTGGTTCACTCCCTGAATGGCCACAATGGCTGGGGCTAGCCCAGGCTGAAGGCAGAAGCCTGGGTGGGTGGCAAGGACCCAAGCACTTGGACTGTCAGTTATGCTGGTGTTGCAAGCTGTGGTTTTACCCCCTGCATTGTAACGCTGGCCCCCTGAACCATCGCTTCTGTGGAAATACAAGGTTAAATTCCTATGGGTCTCTAGCCATCTTTTCATGAACCAGTCAATACGTATTCTTGTTTATAAGTGTTTCTATTTAAAGGTTCCTTATTATATCTTTTTTAAAAAGTATATTAACCTGGAACCTTATGGCCAGCAGTGCTGAAGAAAGCTTACCTAACATGCATTTTATTCATGAAGCATCACAGTCTTCTTGCCCTTAGGAACACGGGGCAGCCCCTCAGCGCCATGCTTGAGGGCCATTTTCTTTTTCTTTTTTTCTTTTAATTTTATTTATTTGAGAGGTAGAGTTACAGACAGTGAGAGGGAGAGACAGAGAGAAAGGTCTACACTCCGTTGGTTCACTCCCCAAATGGCCACAATGGCCAGAGCTGCGCCGATTTGAAGCCAGGAGCTTCTTCCCGGTCTCCAAGGTGGGTGCAGGGGCCCAAGGACTTGGGCCATCTTCTACTGCTTTCCCAGGCCACAGTAGAGAGCTGGATCAGAAGAGGAGCAGCTGGTACATGAACCGGCGCCGGTGCCCATACGGGATGCGGTGCTTCAGACCAGGGCGTTAACCCACTGCACCACAGCACTGCCCCCACGGGCCATTTTCAACAGCAGAACCAGCAGCAGGTGTGGAAAGTGCGGCACTGAGTAGACCATAGAATGGATGCTTACCTATAGCAGGAGAGCTGGGACAGAAGCCAGGGCATCGCTGTGCTCCAGGCCACACATGGTTTTTGTGGCCTTTTGTATTTTCCTAAATACCTAAAAAAGCTCAGTGAATATTGATTTTGGTATTAGAAATAAGTCTTTGCAAGTAGGCAAATTCACAAGTACAGAATCCATAAATAATGAAGTTTGTATTTTCTAATATTTTCCCACACTGAACATATTGTTTGTATTTATTTATTTTTTAAAGATTTTGTTTTTTATTTATTTGAAAGAGTTACAGAGAGAGGTAGAGACAGAGAGAGAGGTCTCCCATCCGCTGGTTCACTCCCCAGATGGCCACAACAGCCTGAGCTGCACCATTCCGAAGCCAGGAGCCAAGAGATTATTCCAGGTCTCCCACACGGGTGCAGGGACCCAAGGACTTAGACCATCTTCTGCTGCTATCCCAGGCCATAGCAGAGAGCTGGATCGGAAGAGGAGCAGCCAGGACTAGAACCAGGGCCCATCTGGGATGCCAGCGCCTCAGGCCAGGGCTTTAACCTGCTGCGCCACAGCGCCGCCCCCTGTATTTTTTTTAAATGGAAGTGTAAAGCAGGGTTCCAGAAAATTAAATTGCAGTATAATTAGGAAGATAAAGCTGAGGCTGTAAAAATAATGTACAAAGGTTCTTCAAAAATTTTTGGGAAAATGGAATTAAAAAATAAGTTAGTGTGGGCCATACGCATACCGCACATGGGACTGTGTAGGTTTGAGCCCTGGCTCTGCTTCAGATCACAGCTTCCTGCTAATTCTCATCCTGGCAGACAGTGGTGATGGCTCAAGTACTTGGGTCTTGCTACCCATATGGGGTATCCAGATTGAGTTATAGGCTCCTGACTTTGGTCTGGCCCAGCCTTGGCTGTTGTGAGTATTTGGGGAGTGAACTGGTAGATAGAAGATCTGTCTTTGATTCTTCTACCTTTCAAATAAAATAAATAAATAAAGATGGCCAAGTTCCATATTGAAGTACTTGAGTTTGATATCCTCTCTCACTCCTGACTTCAACTTCCTGCTAATGGAGCCTGGAAAGCAGCAGTGATGGCTCAAGAATTTGAAGTTTATATTTTCCTGTCACTCATATGAGAGACCTGGATTGAGTTTCCCATTTCTGGCTTTGGCCTGACCTAGTCCTGGTTCTTGTGGCCATTTGGGGAGTGAACCAGTAGATGGATTCTCTGTCTGTTTCTCTCCTTTTATCTCTCTGACTTGCAAATAAATACATAAATAAAATTGAGAGAGGAGCACTGGAAGTGATCAAAAGGAAGAGACCCCTGTGGATAAATCTGTAGAAACTGAAAGGTAGTTTAGAAACAATTAGAGGGAGTGTTTGGCATGGTGGTTAAGATGCCTGCATCCAATATCAGAATGCCTTGGTTTCAGGCCCAGCTCTGCTCCTGATGTCAACTTACTGCTAATGCATACTCCTGGCAACAGCAGGTGATAAGTAGTTGAGTTCCTACCACCCACATGGGAGATCTGGATTTGAGTTCCTGGTTTCTGGGCAATTGGGAAGTGAGCCAGCAGATGGCAGAACATTCTCTTTCTGCTTCCCAAGTAAAATAAATAAACATTACAAAAAAAAAAAATAGTTCTGAAAATTGAAAGCATTTACTCTGATCACTCAGCAAAAAGACTGTGTTAACCTCCAAAAGCAAGTTTTAAGAGAGTAAAGAAGGGCTGGTGCTGTGCATAGGGGGTAAAGCTGCCACCTGCAGTTCCGGCATCCCATATGGGTGCCAGTTCAAGTCCTAGCTGCTCTGCTTTCAATCCAGCTCCCTGCTGATATGCCAGGGGAGAGCAGCAGAGGATGCCCCAAGTCCTCGCACCCCTGTACCTGCATGGGGGACCCGGAGGAAGCTCCTGGCTTCAGATCAGCCCTGCTGCAGCCATTGCATTTCAAATAAGTAAATCTTGAAAAAGAGAGTGAAGAAGTATGCTGAATTAAATGTTTAAGTTTGGGAGAGAAACTGAAAATTTTCTGAAGCTTTTTATTAAGATTTTATTAACCTGTCTGTCAAACTAACTTTGCCTTTTATTATATACATAAACAAATGAACTCAAATACAGATGTGGTTTCCTGTTACTACTAAGTTGCAAGGATAGATGCCTGTCAATTAGGATTCTTAGAGATGGTTTCTGTTTGTAGGAACAACAGCAGTATTGGTATCGACAGCACTTGCTCAGTTTGCAGCAGAGGACAAAAGTGCATTTGCCAGGACACAAGAAGAGTCCTGTGGTAACAAAGGATGCACCAGAGCCAGTGAAAGAAGAAGCGGCAGTGCCTGCCACCAGTCAGGTTGCAGAACCGCCTTCATCTGAGGAGCCGCCCTTACCACCTCTGAATGAGGAGGCACCACCTCCTCTCCCACCTGAGGAACCCCAGGTAACCATAAAAGTATTGGGTATTTATTAAATTGTTCATTTTTTATTCATTTATGTCCTCTTTTGTCATAAGTAGATATTGTATTGTCACATGTTTAGGTAAAATTCTGTTTGTGCAGTAATCAGATGTCTACTACATCATGTTTAGAAAAAGAATTTTTTTGCTAGTGTAAGCGAGAGTGAAGAATGAGAAAGTCTTCTGCATGTTCTCATTCAGAGGGAGGTGCCAGCGTATGGTCATAATGACAGGACCAGGCAGTGGTTAAAGAGCTTCAGCTGTGCAGGCTGCAGTCCAGGCCCTGCTACTTGCTGGTGGTGACTCAAACAAGTTAGTTAACCATTCTGGGCTTCAGTGTTCTCATCTGAAACAAGCACTTATTTGACTAGTAGCCTCTTAGAGAGTTTGCTGAAAGATTAAATGTGATCATCTTTGTCACACAGAATAGTGACTGGCACATGGAAAATTCTCATGTTGGTCCAAAGGTCATTGTTCTCTCAAAATCTTAAATGAAACTGTATTGACCCATAATGATTGCATTGTGTTCCATTGGTGAAAAGTGACTCCCCAACAGGAAGAAATTTCTTCTAAAGTGAAAAAGACTCACTGTAGGTTCATTTTTCTCCTGGGGAAATAGTAAAAGTGAAATGATTGTCACAGTGAGGACTATGGACTTGCTAAACTCCTCTTTATTAGTGTCCATTATAACAGAATAGATGGAGCTAGGTGTTTTAGAATAGCTGTTCTCAACCAGCCTGAGTTGTAGCGATTCTGAACTTTATAACACATTTGTGAAATGTTAATTTGATTGTTATTTGTTACATAAAAGTCTATTTTTATCTTTAGTCTGAGGACCCAGAAGAAGATGCCAGGTTAAAACAGTTGCAGGCTGCAGCAGCACACTGGCAGCAGCACCAGCAACATCGAGTCGGCTTCCAGTATCAGGGAATAATGCAGAAGCACACTCAGTTACAGCAGATCCTGCAGCAGTACCAGCAGATTATACAGCAGCCACCGCATATGCAGGCGAGTGCTTCCGGAGCTGACAAATGGGAAGTTGCCCCAAGACATTTAAGGATTTGTTATTCCTGCAAGACATTTGAATGTGAAAAACTGAAGATGCCTGGTGTTGACAGTTAGTTATTTCCCAGGGGTTGCCCAAGTAGTTATATGTCAGGTTGCCTGGGGGAATGGGGTGAGGTAGCTATGATGAAGTCTCCTAATCATGTCAGCCTAGTGCAGATGCTAGAGTACTACTGCTAAGGGATTTAAGAACCAGGGAATTTTATCACATAACTTCAAGTTTACTTGTATTTTGCAACAGATCACTGCGTTAACAGCTAAGAAAATAAATGTACCAACAAGACCAAAAACAACCCTCACCAAAAAAATCTAAACAGATGTGCCATAAAAGATAATGAAAGTAAGAGGCTGGCATTCAGCTTAGTGGTTAAGATGCCCATGTTCCACACGTATTACCTATGTTTGACACCCAGCTCTAGTTCTTGACCCTAGCTTGCTGATAATGCAGACCTTGGGAAGCAGCATGGATGGCTCAAGTGATTGAGTCCCTAGCCCTCATGTGGGATACCTGGATGGCATTTGTGGCTCCTGGCTTCTGCTCTGCTCCACCCTTTGTTGACATCTGGGGAGTGAAGCAGTGTATAGGAGTGTGTTCTCACTCTTCTTTGTCTTCACTCTGTTCTGTCTCACTGCCTTTTATTTATTTGAAAGGCAGAGTTAGAGAGAGAGAGAGAGGGAGAGACAAGAGGGAGATCTACCATCTGCTGGTTCACTCCCCAGATGGCTGCAACAGCCAGGGCTGGGGCAGGAACCAGTAGCATCTTCTGGGTCTCCCACATGGGTGCAGGGCCCAAGGACCTGGGACATCCTCTTCTGCTTTCCCCGAGCATATTAGCAGGGAGCTGGATTGGAAGCTGAGTATCCGGGACTTGAACTGGCACCCATATGGGATGCTGGCACTGCAGAAGGCGGCCTAACCTACTGCACTACAGCACCAGCCCCCTTGAGCCTGTTAAATAAATAGTTTTATGGGGCCCACATTATAGCATAATGGGTAAGAGCTGCTACCTGTGACACTGGCATCTTGTATGGGTGCCAGTTCCTGTCTCTGCTGTTCCACTTCCATTCAAGTTCCCTACAAATGGCCTGGGAAAAGCAGCAGAAGTACTTGGGCCTCTGCCACCCGTGTGAGAGACCCAGATGAATCTCCTGGCTTTGGCCTGGCCCAACACTGACCATTGTGGCCATCTGGGAAGTGTACAGCAGATGGAAGATCTCTCTGTCTCTCCCTGTTTCTCTGTAATTCTGACATTTTTTTTAAAAGATTTATTTATTTATTTGAGAGGCAGAGAGAGAGAGAGAGAGGTCTTCCATCTGCTGGTTCACTCCCCAGATGGTTGCAACGGCTGGAATTGAGCCAATCTGAAGCCAGGAGCCAGGAGCTTCTTCCGGGTCTCCCATGCAGGTGCAGGGGCCCAAGGACTTGGGCCATCTTCTACTGCTTTCCCAGGTCACAGCAGAGAGCTGGATGGGAAGCGGAGCAGCTGGGACTCAAAGTGGTGCCCATTTGGGATGCTGGTGCTGCAGAGCAGGGCTTTAACCCACTGTGCCACAGCACTGGCCCCATAACTCTGACTTTCAAAATGAATAAATAAATCTTAAATAGTTTTATATATTAAAAAGATAAGGTGACTTAGATACCTGTTTATCTTGCATCTTAGATGCATAATCATGTATCTAGACCTATAATAATAGATCATTTTTCAGTTCTTAAAATGACTTACATTGATATTAACAACTTGATAAATACTACTGATATAGGTATTTTTTTAGTGTTTGGTTGGATTTTCCAAACCTGTGATAAAGAAGCTAAGGAAGAAAGAAGCATGATCATCACTAAGAGGATTTCTTTTTTTTTTTTTTTTTTTTTTTTTTTTTTTGACAGGCAGAGTTAGACAGTGAGTGAGAGAGACAGAGAGAAAGGTCTTCTTTTCCGTTGGTTCATCCCCAAAAGGCCGCTACGGCCAGCACGCTGCGCCGATCTGAAGCCAGGAGCCAGGTGCTTCCTCCCAGTCTCCCATGTGGGTGAAGGGCCCAAGTGCTTGGGCCATCCTCCACTGCCTTCCCGGGCCACAGCAGAGAGCTGGACTGGAAGAGGAGCAACTGGGACAAAATCTGGCGCCCCAACTGGGACTAGAACCTGGGGTGCCAGCACCGCAGGCGGAGGATTAGCCAAGTGAGCCGCGGCGCCATCATCACTAAAAGGATTTAACAAGCTTACCCTTAGCCTGCTAAAGTCTTTCATGTTCTAATTCCCTAAGTCTGTGTATGCCTTTGGTTCATTAACGTTTTCTTATGTGAATGTTTTGACATAATTTTATTCTTTTATTTGTAGACCATGTCTGTAGATGTGCAGCTGCGGCATTATGAGATGCAGCAGCAGCAGTTTCAACATCTCTACCAAGAATGGGAGCGAGAGTTTCAGCTGTGGGAGGAGCAGCTCCATTCCTATCCTCATAAGGATCAACTTCAGGAGTATGAGAAGCAGTGGAAAACATGGCAGGGGCATATGAAGGCCACTCAGAACTATCTCCAGGAGAGAGTCAGTTCATTTCAGAATGTGAAGAACCAGTATATGGGGAATATGTCAATGCCACCTCCTTTTGTCCCATATTCTCAGATGCCGCCACCTTTACCAACAATGCCCCCTCCTGTATTGCCGCCGTCATTGCCCCCCCCAGTGATGCCTCCTGCCCTGCCTACAAGCGTGCCACCTCCTGGCATGCCCCCGCCTGTGATGCCACCTTCTCTACCAGCCTCTGTGCCTCCTCCAGGGGTACCTCCATCTCTCTCTTCAGCAGGGCCACCTCCAGTTCTTCCCCCGCCTTCCCTCTCTTCTGCAGGGCCGCCACCAGTTCTCCCCCCACCATCTCTTTCTTCATCGGCACCACCCCCTGTTTTACCCCTCCCGCCGTTGTCTTCAGCTACACCTCCTCCAGGAATACCTCCTCCTGGAGTTCCACAAGGGATACCTCCTCCATTAACAACAGCCCCAATTCCACCAGCCTCCGGTTCTCAGAGCTCACAGCATCCAGAGAAGCCTAGACCAGCACTGCTTCCCACTCCTGTGTCTTTTGGTTCAGCCCCACCTTCAGCTTACCATCCTCCATTGCAGTCAGAACAAGTGAATTCTAAAGGTCCTCTGAGCAAGTCTACTCTACCATACAGCTCATTCTCATCTGAGCAAGGACTTGGGGAATCTTCAGCAGCTCCATCTCAGCCGATCACTGCGGCCAAGGACATGCCAGTGAGGTCAGGTGGACTGCTTCCAGATCCTCCTAGAAGCAGTTACTTGGAAGGTCCAAGAGGCCCAAGGTAGGTCTGCTTTTTTTCTCCCTTGGATTTGGTTATTTTGTGGACTTAGGCCACATAGGCTTTGAGGGAATCAAAAACTTCATTTTTACAAGTTTTAGTCTTTGTATTTTATATATACTTCTGTTTACAGATGTTGGTATTGTTCACTTACTAGACGTGACAATGTGTTACAGAAATGATTTCTTTGATATGGCTGCTTTTATCATATATGTAGGGATTACAGTCCAGAATGCAGTGTTTTAGAGTAATGCTTATCCTTACTGACTTTTCAGCTTCAAAAATAATTTTTAGTCATTGATTTTTTTTAGTTTTCATTTATGTGATAATTGAATTGACAAATACTATTTGTTAGATAATGTGCCAGTTTTTAGAGATGAAGATGAATTAAGTAATATTCTACTGAAATAAGGCAATGAAATTTAGTGTAAGAGTAAATAGGATTTTATTTTTCTCCATTTGTTCAGCAGATGTTTATTAAGTTCCTGTTCTGTGCTTACAGCACTAAATGTAACCAGACAAAATCTCTGCTTCCCATAGAACATACATCTTTTATATTTTCCTCAATTAGGGAGATGTTTTTCTTCCAACTGAACTACATCTTTGTGTAGAAAAGACAAGAAATTAGTGATTTCTAAGTTTTTTTCTCTTTATCAGTTAAAAGCATTAAATTTATTTTTTTTCAAGTTTTTAAAAATATTTTTCTCCCCATTTACCTAAATGATAATTCCCATATAGAAAAATACTATTTTTTAATCAGATTTTTTTTACTAGTTGTAGTTATAGTAAAAATATATACTCCTTATACAAAATTCAGACATCTACTCCTTATACAAAATTCAGACACATCCTAGGAAAAGAGTGAAAGTCACCTAATTCCCCATCAGGAGATAATCATTAAACAATAGGTCATGAAATGGGATCATTCTGTGTACAATGTTTTATAAATTACTTTTTCTGCTTATTCATTAATGTAGCTTTCCATTTCAGTAATAGTACATCTATGCATAATTTTTAATTTAAAACCTATTTTTTAGCATTTGGTTGTTCCCAGACAAGTTTATAATTCTGCGTACATCATGGTGCAAAACTCCATCCAAAAACAAAGCTGGGAGAAAGTTAGGGGCAGTCAGCGTGAATTCCTCTGTGAGCTAAGAAGCCTTGCTGGAGACTCCACACATTGTTAGCTCTCGGGAGTCCTCTCAGCATCTTGTGAGCTAGGCAGCTTACATCACAGCTGCAGGTTGGAGCTGAGAGGATTAGGTGACTTACTCCGCTGGGATCCCAGCTCAAGGAGAGTAGAACCTGAGTCTACACCTAGATGGAGTTGTCTCGAGGGACCCTAAACCAAAGCACCATTCAGCAGTATGTCTAATGCCATGGTTCAGAGTCATACTATCAGTGATTACAAACACTGTTTTAGTCTTGATTTATTTGCTGTGTGCCATCTTCTAGATTTGAATTGGTATCCGTCTTCTGGATTGAGCATTGCCTCTCAGATCTGATGACTAATTCGCTATCAAAGAAGTACCTTCTTACTACTTCCTTGAAACATATATCTTGCTCCCTTGATTTCTGGTTTTTTTGTTTTGTTTTTTTTTTTCAGTGTTTTCTGTCTTTGCCTACCAAGTCTTGGTTTTATAAATTTAGGACCTATTTTAAGTTTTTTGTTACCTCAGAGGTAAAGTTAATCTCAGTGCTAGAAGGATTTTAGCATTTGTCTGCTATATCCCTCCATGGCAACCCACATTTGGATTGCATTTTAGTTTGTCATGCTGGGTCTTGCATGTGTCACCTTATTAATTCCTCTCAGTGATCTCATGAGGTTACTAGATAAGGAAAGCTGAGATTTGGAGAGGATATAAATAAATTGCTCCAGATGACATAGTTAATAAATGATTGAGATGGGATTAGAATCCAAGGCCTCTTGATCCACTTTTAAGCCCTTCACACTTCCTGTGACAAGTGCTTGATAGATTGTGTTTAAACATTGGCACTGTGAAAAGGAACACTGCCATGTAAGTCGTTGATAATTTTCTGGAATGTTTATTTTTTACGCAGATCTTAAATGAGTTTCCATAACTTTGTCTACTTGTTGGCCAGTGCTCACACAGTGTTGACTCATGTAGAACCTTTATATCAATTTGGCTTCCCAGATCTTTTTCACATTAGCTATTTTTTTTTTAACATTTATTTATTTGAATGGCAAAGTGACAAAGAGAATGATTGATTGATTCTCTATTCATTGATTTACTCCCCAAGTGGCTGCATTGGCTGGGGCTGGGCTAGACCGAAATCAGGAATCTGAAATTCCACCTAGGTTTCCTAAGGAGGATAGCAAGGGCCCAAGCACTTGGGCCATCTTTCACTGCTTTCCTATGTTTATTAGCAGGGAGCTGGATTGGAAGTAGAACAGCCAGGACCTTGAACTGATGCTCATATGGCAGACAGCATCACGGGTGGCAGCTTTCCTACTGTGCCACAGTGCCAGCACCTACATTGACGGTTCTTATACCTGAACCTGTATGTTTTTTTCTGCTTGTTTTTCCTAAGAGTTGACGTCTTTATTTATTTATTTATTTTTTATTTATTTTTTTTTTTTTTACAGACAGAGTTAGGGAGAGAGAGAGAAATGTCTTCCTTCCTTTGGTTCACCCCCCAAATGGCCGCTACGGCCGGCGCGTGTGCTGATCCAAAGCCAGGAGCCAGGTGCTTCCTCTTGGTCTCCCATGCAGGTGCAGGGCCCAAGCGCTTGGGCCATCCTCCACTGCCTTCCTGGGCCACAGCAGAGAGCTGGCCTGGAAGAGGGGCAACCGGGACAGAATCTGGCACCCTAACCGGGACTAGAACCCGGGGGGCCGGCGCCGCAGGCAGAGGATTAGCCTAGTGAGCCGCAGTGCTGGCCAGACATCTTTACATTTTTTTAGAATATTTTAATTTATTTGAGAGGCAGTGTTACAGACAGAGAGAAGGAGAAACAGAGAGAAAGTTCTTCCATCCGCTGGTTCACTCCCCAGATGGTCGCAATGGCCAGAGCTAGGCTGATCCGAAGCCAAGAGCCAAGAGCTTCTTCCAGGTCTCCCCTGGGGCCCAAGGACTTGGGCCATCTTCTACTGCTTTCCCAGGCCATAGCAGAGCTGGATCAGAAGAATAGCCAGGACGAATGGTCTCCCATGTGGGATGCCAGCACCACAGCCACAGGCTTAGCCTACTGCACCACAGTGTCAGCCCTGACATCTTTATATTTTGTTTAACTAATTTTGGGCCAACATTTTAGTCTGCTGAAATCTTGGTGAAATATTGATTGTATTGTTCTACGTATGTGTAGCTTTTTCAACTACAACTTTGATAAGGATGTCTTTTTTGGTCCTTGAGTTGAATTCTGCTTGTATTGTCCCTCTTGTTTTGAAAACCTTTCCCCAAGCTAGCTTATGTCATTGCCATTTGTATCACACTTCTACTTTGTGGTTACTGAACTCTTGTAGAGTACAGTTTTTTGACTGTTACCTAAACATAGTTCCTTTTTTTCTCCTGTGTAACCAGCCGTCCCCCCCCTCCCAGTACATACACACACACACACACACACACACACACACCAGCAGAAAGTTGGTTATTGAGTGAAAGAAGTTAAGAATAATTCACACTCTAAGGAAAATTGTGAACTTTATTAGTTGAGTTCTGATTTTGCTATAAACACATAACTAATATTGTAAGTCACTCATTTTTTTTTATAAAAAGTTAGAAAAAATAAGAATTGAGAACATGGCCAAACTGATTTACTAGTAACATGTTACTAAAATAAAGTACTGCAGTTATTTTGAATTATTGCAAAATCCAGCTCTAGTCTGCCTTCTAAAAACTGGAGGTTTCAGAAAGTCAAAATGCATGGCATGTAAATGGTGCACCACTTGTTGAACTTGCAGTACAGCTGTTTTGACTGTGTGCACATGAGCACTCACTTGGATTCACTGAGTCTTCCAGAAGACTACTATTGTCCAGGAAACTGTCCCATCATGGATGTTGGCTTCCTAGAGCATTTTAGCTTTCAATAATTAAACTTACTTATTGAAGGATAATGTAGAGTAGTGTATGTTCTCAAGCATACAGCTCAGTGAATTTTAGCAAAATAGACATGCCCGTATTATCACTACTTAGTGAAGGAAACAAATTGCTAGTGCCAAACACAGCATCATCAGCTATTTTCTCCCAACTTGAAGATAGCCAACAAACTGACTTTTTTTACACCACAAATTACCCATCTGTGAATTTCGTATTTATGGAATCTTACATTCTGTACATATTATTTCTTTTAAACTTTTTCATTTATTTATTTTTATATGAAAGGCAGAGAGACAGATGGAGAAATCTCATCCTCTGGTTTACTCCTCAAATACCCATGACAGCCAGGACTGGGCTGAGCCAAACCAGGAGCCAGGAACTCAATGTAGGTCTTTCATGTAGGTGGTAGTGACCAATTACTGGAGCCGGATACTGAACCTTTGTATACCTGTGTGGGATGCTGGTGTCTCCACTGGCCTCTTAGCTGCTAAGCTAAATACACCTCCTTCCCCTACATTATTCTTTTGAATGTTTCACTTGACACTGTATTATCATGAGAGTCATCGATAGTGTATGTTGTGGTAGTTGGTTCATTCTCATTCCTGGACAATATTGTGTTGTATGAATATACCATAGTCTGTTTATTCCAGTATTGATAGTGAGTGGAATGTTTTGATTATTATAAAAAATACTTCTTTGCCTTCTGGTGCTATATATGTCTCCTGTAGATGTGCATGTGTGTGTATTGGTGTGTATTTAATTTTGCCTGGATATATTGTATGTGTGGAATTAAATCATACTGTATGTACTCTTGAGTCTGATATCTTTCACTTTACGTTGTATTATTTATCTGTATTGTTTGTATCGGTCGTTTATTCATTCCTTTCCTGTGCAATAGTCCGTGGTGTAAATATGCCACAGTCTGTTTAAAGGAATAGAATTGG